CTGAGTACTTTATCTATGGCTATTATATCTATGGTCCGCCATTACTGGACACCACACAACTGTCACAAGTTCCCTTAAAATTTTGAAGTCATCATAAAAAATATCTGTTTGACGTCAAAAGTTCAAGCAGGATAGATTCTCGGGTCAAGCGGGAATAGCGATAAGGTGTATTATTGTATGACGTATGCTGACGTAAAAAGCGGGACAGATTTCCAAATACTGAAATAGCGATAAGGTGTATGAGACAGCTATCAACCAGAATTTAAATGACTTGGATAAAAGAAATTATAGGTCACTGTACGGCTTTCAAAACTGAGAAAACCAATGCCATATAGTCCACTTTGAAGCCTTGACAAACAAATGTTAAATTTTTCTCAACACAATTGAAACAAAACAACTAACTGCCTACATTAAATACACATTATGAAAAAGAAATTTGACAGACTTAAACCAACAACTATTGCAATAAGCATGACTCAATACCTTGTTTCCGAGGCACACAAACAAGTTACAATAACACTAATATAAGCACCATTTGAATATGGAGATTTTTTTTCTAGTAAAATCAGTGTATGTATGTATTTGCAAAACAGTAAATTAAATTTCCCTTAACAGCTTAATGAACATTACAAAGACTATGTAAGACTTCAGTACAAGCAAGATAATATAAACTGTTGCTTAAAATTATATTTATTGCTTCATACACACAATGTACATGCAATTTATCTTTTATTTTTTAACAGGAGCTAAAAGAAAAGCCACAAAGGACAAGTTCAATATGCAGGTTTACAATTTGGAAGTGGCGCAGGTTCTTTGGAACGTCTACAACCTTTCAGGAGAATTTTTTTTTGAAGTAAGATTTTCATACAGAATTACTGTTATTCCATATTTAATTCAAATATTTAGCATAAACAATGCATTACATTCAAGATTAAGGGCATACAATACAGAAAAGATATCTGGATATTTGAATAAATTATTTTTTTTGTGACAAAATAGAAACAAGTTGTTTATTTAAATCAATCTTTTAGTCCAACAGTGTGCTTTCATAAACAACACATTTGCTTTCCTTTGAAGTATTTCAAATACATATAAACAACTCATTTAATGACATCTGTGTGTTTCTCGGAAGTTAAGTTATAATATTATCATCATTGCGAAAACAATGCGTAACACTTCGATAAGTTATTATGTGCCTATAGTATACTTCTAGGACTGTATCATATGCCTTTAGATACAAATGACAAGTTATAAACTATGTCACTCTACAGAGTTTAACACTTAAAAAGGGCAATAAGATGTTTAATGACATTATGTAGCAGGGCTTTTTAAAGGCCCCTACATGATACAATGCATTTAATGAAAACTAAAAAAAAACAAGAAAAGCAACAGCCTGATTTATACAAAACAATAAAAGACAAAAAATATGATGGACAACAATCAACGAGTATAATAAAATAAGACTATTGACTGGACACATATCATGCATATCTAGTCTAAATTTGTTTATGTGTTTTTTTTTAATAACTAAATGAAGTTCAGCGTGGTATATTGCTCTCTCTTAACACGGTCAGCCATTTATCGTTCCCTTCCGACAGACTATCATCGTTATTTGTTTCAAAACTTTAAAGGGAAGGGGATGTATATCCTTCAGGCAACGTGAATCGTTCTATAATAAAGGAATGTGCAAGAAGTTTATATATGAATGTAAGATTAATTTTTTTTTCAGAAGCATGGCACAGCAAGAAAAAGTTATAAGACACTACAAGACATTCCAAGTGATTTTGAATAAGACAATTGATTGACTTTTTCAATGTATTCTTAGATAAATCAAATAGTTGATGTAAAATGGTGTTTTGTTCTCATCTCTTCAGCCAATTATCAATGATTATTGACTTAAGATGTAACCCTATTAGAAGAGTATTGTTTTAGTTTAGAAAGAGAAGTTGTATTGAAAAATCTGAATTTGGGACACAAGTTTTAGTCAATGTAACTTGAACTTAAAAATGTGTATAATGTTTGCATAATGTCCAATGGCATATATGTCATGCATGTTCAGGTTGACATATGCATGATGTGTATAAGATAGGTAATAAAAGTTGAGAGTGAAAAACTGAACATTATACCATTGTGGTTGGAATGTGGGCTTTCTTGCACTGTCTGTCGTCTGTCCACCTATATTTGTCGGATTTTGTCCAACAAATATTTTCATCACTGTTTTTCCCAAAACTGCTGATAAAGATGAGTTCATATTTAATGAGCTGCTTGATAGTGATGAACTGTGATGTGTGAACATTTTTGTATCTGGCACCTGTTTCCTGTTTGCTTATACATTGTATTTCAAAATGTTGAATGTTCTCAAATTTTTCATTACTTTAATTACTAATGCTGATGAACAGAACAACTTCATATTTGGTAATTTGCTTGACCATGATGAGTTGTGTCTGCCATTTTGGATGTGTCAAAATTTGTAGATACTTCTTGTTTTTAGAGACTTTGAATTGTGAATTTCATATGCTTAGCAAAACAACTGATTTATTCTTGTTTGTATATAGAATTAATCACTGTGTATAAAATAATTTAACTAATGATTTGTTATTTTAAAAAGCAGGAAACTCAATCAAAAGTACAGAAATTTTTATATTGATATGATCTAGATACCAACCAAAAACATCTTCTTAAAACATTTTGAAAACATTTTTAAGGCACATTCTCACTTGCAAGAAAACATCCAAAAAACATTTTTATAACATTATTTGATGTTCATGATGTTTTTCAAACGTTCAGAAAATATTTCTAGAAAATATTTTTTAAAAGCTTATCAAAATGTTTTATACGCCATTGTTTTTCACATTATCTTGATATTTCTTTACAACATTTTAATTATATTATGCAAATATTTTAGAAAATATATTAGAAAACGTTTTAGCGATATATATTCTACCATACATTTAATGTTTTTCTCACGTTTTTTTGTGATATTTTCATGACATTAGACACAACATTTTAAAAACATTTTAAAGATGTTTTTGTGTTTGCTGGGTATATATACAAAGAACGCAAATTACTTGAGGAGCAATAAATAGGCAACACAAATCCTTTAAAACTTTGAGGTTAGGTCTGATTTGTGATAATATATTATTTTACCATGCTATATATATTAAAATGGTTACTGAATAATATCGATTAATCCTGCGTCATATGCTGTTAAGGTAACAAAGGTGTGTGGTTGTTTCAAAAGTCGAAGCAACAAAGACAGCTTTTTTGTTTATTTTGAAATCTGTATTTTTACTAACTCAGACTCTAACCATAACCTAACTAACAGGCTTGCTATTTTCCCCAAACGAAAACAGATGAGTTAGATTTAATTATAAGGTTACCACAAATAATTCTGTATATAGCAAAGGTCTCTTAATTCTAATCATATCAGTTCAGAAAACTAAAATGTATCTGTGTCACAATCTCGTCCTCTTTTCTTTGATCATGACATAAGGTGTCACATGTGGAACAGTATCCTGCTAACCATTCTGGAGCACATAAGATCGTGTTGTTCAATCTTTAGTTTTTTATGAAGTGCTTTGGAGACTGTCGTTAGTTGTTTGTTTGGTTTTCCTTTTTTGCAAGTTTTTTTGTTAGTTTTTCTGTGATTTATGGAGTTCGATTGTTCCTTTGGATACCGTACTCTTGTTAACAAGTCCTGAAGCGTGTGAAATTGATTTTCTTACTTTACATCTGTAAGGTCAAGTATTCACTTATTTGAAGCTGTGCATGATTAAAACTATCGCATTGATCTGAGTTTGATTCTATTACACCCTGACAAGTACATGTAGTGATAGCTTATATATAATCTACGCTGACTGTGGCTATTGTTTTAAGTCCCTATATTTAACATAGCTCCACAAGTATGTATACATAACTGACTTTGCAAGTTCGAATCTAGCCGTTTTGGATGAAGGTGATATCAATTGGAAGCACGAAATTTGTACAGTATCATTTTTGATTTAACATAAATACAACGAAAAAATAAAGACGATTGCGATGTTTGTTTATTTATAAAAAAAAAAGACTTCTGGTAAAAGCTATGTAGATGAATCATGTACAGAGTTCACTAATTATATAATTTATGCATGTCTTCGTTCAAAATGATTTGATAGGACTTGATTCATCAAGTTTATGTTCTGTCATAAAGCAATGTATTTTCTAACTATACTTTAAATGATATAACTGAATAGGAAAAATATGTACCCTTACCATTCATACACATGTTCATCATGGTAGTTCATTGAGTCATCTGCAAATATTTAACGAAATCATTCGCTAACTTACCACACAAACACGAAGTTGTATGTTTGATTTTTGTAAAGCTTTGATAAAAAAAAAAAAAAAAAAACAATCCAGCGTTTACGATCTAGTAAATAGTTATGACGAAAACATTTGAGTATCACCCAGCAAAATTACAAGACAATTATAGACGAAATACCGTTATTTAAAACAAACATATATTTGGTATACGGAATCGAACACTTAACAAAATTGAAAGTCCCTCTTTACTCACATTGAACCGATGTAAATGTAGCTTCATGTACTATTTTGTCAGATATTTGATTTTCTTCAACCATATGTTAAAATCGGTGAATTGATTTAGAATTTTATTAATCGGTTACGAAACATCATGTATTAGTTTCTAAGATTGCTTATTAATGACGCAAAATAACTTGGAAATTTATATACATTAATCTAGCAATTATATTCGATAGTCTTTACGGTGCATTCGTAAATAGTCAAGTAGTCAAGAACTAAGACAAAAAGCGTTTAAAAGTACAGAAACCGTTCAGGTGCAAAACGATTATTTTAATACCATTATAGGTTATACCTCTCTACCGTTAACTTAATATGCTTATTCTTCAAAAATCAAATAGCTTCTTGAAACGTGTGACATATGTTATACATAATATGTTTTAATAAATAATTGATGCGTAGTTAATGTTGTATGTATTCCTTTCCGACAGAGGGGGAGCAAGACGTGCATGGTATACACATTATATCTGTTTGAGTTTGTGAAAAAGGAAAAATGAAATCCAGTCACATCATTTGTATTGCTTTTTTTCTCGCCGTTATGTGCCGAACATGTAAGTCAAGTCTATAACTACTTCTATGTGATATAATTTTTATTTTAACGAGAACATACATTATACCCACTGACGGTTGATATGAGATAAATAAACATTCTCAAAAATGTTTTCAGAATTGGACAATATTTGATTGCACAGATAACCGCATAATTTTCCGATAAGAAGACAGTGCTCCGGTACTGGCATGATAAGCATAGCAGTTTTTCCGTAATTATAGATTATCGATGGTTTTTCAAACGAGACGGTGCTTCTCATCTACAATTTTATCGGAAGGCGACAGCCCTGAGCTGAGATGTGGCCGAGAAACATCCTAGAGTTGCACTCAATAGTTTTTACTTATGGAAAAGATCTTTAATCTCTTGTCCATGGTTCAAATTTGAATTTGATATTTTTAAAAAGGCTTCACATAGACATGAGAAAGGTCAGTTTTTATGATTAATATTACTACTATATTAATCATGAAAACACACTATTTTACATATATTTTGATTTCATTGCTAAGTGTAAATAACTGTAATAAGATCTTTGAATTATACATAATCGATGGTTTTTCAAACGAGAGGGTATTTCTTAGCATTAATATCATCGAAGGGCGATAGTCTTGAGATGAGGTGTGGCCGAGAAACATCCTCGAGTTTGAAAGACCATTGATAATTTGTTTATCGTTATTTTGCCTATGATGTAGTTGATGTTTACATTGACAACGCCACGTGCGCCCTTAGTTTCTGACGATGATTTTCTATCCCAAGCGAGTAGCATGATATGAAAATTATTACAAAATAGACCAAAGGAAAAATACACAAAATGGCGATGATATTGTTTTATCGTTTCCTACATCGATTTGTTAATCAATAAAATAAAGCATAAATATAAGTTATTGCTATACGACTGTAAATATTAAGGGTCCTACATTCTGTCGAAACATATTTCATGGCATAGCACAATATCAAGTTTTCTCTGACTGTGTATGACGTCTTTATACTAAATTTATTGGATGTGTACTGATTGATATTTAAGTACATGATTTTTTCATTAGTTGTTATTGTCTCTGAACTATCTTTCAGTAACTCTCGGTCATAGAAATACACTCAGAAAGCGGAGTATATAATTTGTGCTCGAAACTCCAAAAACAGTAGTTTGATTGGTTGAATTTTTGAGCCTGAGTACGATAATCGTACTCGAATTTTTTATGACCATAAGGCCCGTACTTTGTTTCTTAAGTCTTAGGTAATTTGTTTGGATCTCATGAGTCAAGCCTTTTTCAACTGATTTTCATAGTGAATTTTTATGTTGTGCTGTTACATCAATGTTCCAGGTTCGAGGGGGAAGGGGGTTGTTGGGCGCCCGCAAACATGTTTAATAGCGACACATTCTGGGTGTGTCTGTCCATAGTCAGAAGCCTGTAATTCAGTGGTTGCCTTTTGTTGCTGTATATCATAGTTGTGTTTCGTTTATTGTTTGTTACATAAATCAGGTCGTTAGTTTTGTCGGGCCCTTTTATACATGTAGCTTGCTATCTGGTTCAGGTTTTGCTCATTGTTAAAGGCCATACGATAACATGTCGTTGCTTACCTCTACGTTAGTTGGCCTCTGGTGGTAAAAGATCAACAACCTTTGAGTTCTTTAATGTTTATAGTGTTGGGTGCAGTCTGCAGATTGGGTTACATTTACTTTATTACCATTGCTCATATATCAGTCTGTCAATAGCCATCTGACTATAATCTCTTATAGTTGTAAAACATGATAACTTTCTGTTAAATGATATTATAAGTGAATATGAGCAATAAGACATAGAATTGAGAATGGAAACGGGGAATGTAACAGAGACTTTAGACATAAGACATCTATGTTTTATCATTTTGAATCCTTTGTAGATATTATTTTAATATTTTAAATTTTTAGTGTTATTTTAAATCATTAACAAAAATCAATGTTAGTACCGATAGAGATTCAAAGATCTGATAACATAGTTACATTGATACTGTCTTGAATATTTTGAATTAATAAGTTAACATGGATCATATCTAAGTTTACAGGTTCTATAAACAACTCTACCGTTAAAATCAGGATGTATCCTATTTGTAAAAAGGTTTCTACAGTTACCATATTAACTACCGAACTTTCAAACTAAACGTATGTATCTATGAAAGAATTTGAAAAATTTGTCAAGTAATTTGTAGTTAAGAAATCCCTGACTTAATAATTTACCAGTTATATATAGATTGTTTTTAGCAAAATTTGAAATTTCATTACAGACTAAGGCATAGCGAATGTGTTTGGAAATATACACATCGTAAGAAGGGACTAACTAAATATAAGCACCGAAAAAAAAAAGGATAATCAGCAAGAGGGACTGAAAAATCGCCTCTTTTGTAGAAAAAAAAATGTGTTTATATTTGTCTGTGTGAAAATGAAATGACCAAACCTAGAAAAGGTAACATTATAACTGTTATATTAGGTGCATATTTAACATGTTTGAAGCCGTTTGCATGATGTCAATATGTGTATTATGTTTAGAAACTTCTTGATTATTCTAAGCAAAAAATTATCACCAAGGCAAGTGTTATAAAATTTTTCAATCGAATTGATTTTAACGGATCTCAACTAAATTGTGCCACAAGCTAGCTGTGATTCACAACAGTACAGGAACACATCTGCTCTTAAAGGGTCTCAATTGGTGTTCGTATGATAACCTTCAACCAGTTCATATTATCACAATTTTAGGAAGTAAATGTAGCATATTTACAATTTTCATTACAAAAAGGCTTTATATTAGTCACATCAAAATCATGTCTAATCACATTCTTCAAAGTACTTTTAATAAAATAGTAAAACAACTCTTTGTCAATGATGAGATTCTATAGACATGTAATATAGAGAGTCATAACTATAAACTGAGTTGAAACGAACATCAAAAACACGGAATGTATGTAAACCATTCGAATGATGTTTTACACTCCAAAAAATCAGTTCCATTTCTTTTATATTACACAAGTAATAATAAAAGTTTTAATTGGAGAAGGGGAACTTGTTACAAGGACACACAGATAAGTTGTAAAACATTTACTAAAATGAAAGATGAAACGGTATTTGACGAGTTATTGTTTTGTTTGTTTTTTTTCGCAAAACTATGGATTGATAATTTCCCACTGAAAGCCTCCTTTCACATACTTTCCATATATATTTTTTAAACTTAAGTTTGTTCTATCGTGTATTATATATTTTGAAATATAATGTGTTTACATCTTGTTTTCCCGATCAGATACACTTTATAAACTGAATGAATTGTTAAAGTAATTAACTAAATGTGGAAGCCTTACATTTTACTGGTTATTCAGCATTAAGGTGTAGGAGGAGTGGAGGAGTTTGTACGAAAAGCTATTGTCCAAAGGGGTATTTTGAGGACCATTTGCCACACGAAGACTGTTGTTCTACTGAAAGATGTTGTCTTCTCTTGTGGCATCAAAAGCCATCCAAATTTCCAAATACTTTCTTTGATTTAAATCAATTAGGTTTATTTGGTTTATTAGGAACTCATGTACATTAATTGTCTAATTATGTGCTGTTCATTTCTTCAACAACTATTATATCAGTATGAATTTCATATAGATATGAACATATTGATAACAACGCGCTATGAATCGAATAAGTCATTGATCAGTAATCATTATCACTATTATCAGACCTGAAACCTGGACATATGAATATCAATCATAGTATGCACAACTGGGTTTCTTGAATATTTATCTTTAAATCCGATCGCCACCAAAAGTTTGGAAAGCGGAACGCATTTTAATTTTCAGAGAATTATCAACAACATGCCCTTAACAGAACAACATAATGTACTTAATCTACATGTAGCATGAGTTACGAGGATAATTAATAGACAATAAGACAGCACCCGAACGACGAAAAAAACAAACAGACATCTCCACAGCAACATATACAATCTTAAACAATAGTCGGGGGTTTTAGGAATATTTCAAGGTCTATATCTAACCCAGTCTATACAAATTGTGAATAAATTTGAATGACACAATTTTCAATCTCTGTTTTTTGTTAGTTGTCATATTAATCGACACTAACAAGTTAATTTGAGAGCCACTTAGTTGTAAAAATCATTATGGAATAGTATCTAAAGTAACTTACAAATTTCAAACAAAATTTATCAATAATTCATATGTCAATACCTTTTGTTTTTAGCCGATAACAATTACTGTTTTCCTTATCTTGTCCGATCTCTTGTGACCCTAATTGAAGCATATGACAATATATTGTTTTTATACTGGTAATGTACGACTTTGTTTCACATCAGTATAATACATTGTTAAAAGAACGGCTGCTGTATGAATACGATGTTCGCTTTAAAAAGAGTGTTTTGCCGTTTCAAATATTTCAAAAATCCATCAAAGCTTATATTTCAATTAAAATGATTCTCTGATATTAGAATGACAGAAAAAAACAAAAAAATAAATATTACTTGTACATATCTTCAAGTTTTTAGCAATACTCATCTTTTTCATTTAAACCACGAGCAAATGCTTCATCTCATGATTGTGAATATCTTATGTGATTATGTGATTATGGTTATGTTTTCTTGAGTAAAGAATACCTGTATTTGTATAGGTCTTAATAGAGATTTCCATTAAAATGACATACGTACCTAACTCGACGTACGCACGTAAGGGGACCGGTTATTAATAACCTATTAATTTTATTAAATGCATCACTCAAGTTTTAACTAAGTATTCCTTAACTATTAAACCTATTCAGGATAAATTTTATCAATATCAAGTATTTCTAAGATGATGAAAAACGAAAGAAACCATGATTTTGATATATCGCGTGATTATTGAGATTCCCGCCTAAACTTCACTGTCATAAGACCACGTATAGATACGTATCGTTACCTATCATACGATTGATTTGAGTTGACTTTCATGGTTTTGACCATGACTTTGTTTTTCGATATACTTTGCAAATGAACCTTTTATTATTTAATATTTTACATGCTTTTATTTGTCGTTATCAGATTGGTGTTCCTTCTTCCTTTCGTTTTTTAATGTTTTATGATATTTAATTTCCGTGGGTGGTTATCATTAGACAGAGATTTTTCTAGCAATTTCAGAAATATTGAATTCAAAGTGTTAGTCAGAATTTGTCTCTGTTAAAGTTGATAACTGGGATTGCATCATACTTTTTTAAGCATCATTTCAAACATTCTCTTCTTCTGCAGTTAATCTTGTTTTTTAACAATTTCCGATTTTTTTTCCTCGGGAAAACGGACATATTTTAAAAAAAAAAATAACACAGGTCTTGTACTTGACATACATTTTTCTTTCAAATGACAGTCAACTAACATTAAAATAAAAAGAATTTTGTAATCAATTATAATATATGTAAATAAATGTGTACACCAATTCGTTATATAGATTGTAATTTGGAAGGTGTACTTGATTAGCAATTGATGACTAATAATCTGCATATAAACATTGACCGCTGTGGATAGTAAACTATCAATTCATAGTACATAGTAATTGGCTAAAACAAGTCCTGTCTAAAGTATCTCTGATTAAAAGTGGATTAGAATGCCAATTTACATACTTTTTACCTTTTTAAGACATCTATAATGTCACTTCAGTCTTTACAGGAATTTTCGTTTTTAAAATGAACTTTTAATGAGAAAGGCGTGATATTGTCATAGTTGTTTTTGGATTAAGAAAACTTAGAAGTGGATTCTAAAACTATCACATATTGATTGAGTAAGCGAAAATTTTGAGTTTCAATTTTTCTCTCGCTTTGGAGGTATATATATATATATATATATATATATATATATATATATATATATATATATAAACAAGTCTAAATTGAAAACAACGTTCAAACCTATGATTGCGTTGGATAAAAACCGCAATTTTTATACGTGTGCATGCAAAGCAAATTTCTAGGTAGAGGGTATATATATATATATATATAAGTACGTCTGAACCAGTGACAACTCTACAACAGATTTATCCATCGATTCACCAGCAGTGATGGTAATACATGGTTGTGTTCATTCTGTATGTACAACTCGTCTAAACATCAGCCCAACAATATTAGATCTGTAAATTTGCTTTCGCAATTTTTTTGTTCTTCCCTCGCCGGGTTTCTAACTCATGCTACTGAGAAGATCAAAAAATTTGCGAAAGCAAATTTACAGATCTAACATTGTTGGGCTGATGTTTAGACGAGTTGTATATACAGAATGTACACAGCCATGTATCACCATCACTGCTGGTGATCCGATGGATAAATCTGTTGTAGAGTTGTCACTGGCTCAGATGTACTTATAAATATAATTATTTCTGTGACTGTATCTTGCATTAATTTGTAGGATCCTTTACAATAGATATTTCAGCTGATCTGTAACAATTCCATCTTCATTCCTTATATATCATGTACTGTATTACGATGCTAGATTAAAACTGTCCCAGGCATAGGGGGAGGGAGCACTCACAAACATGTTTCACCCGGACACATTCTTTATGTGGCTGTCCCATGTCAGGAGCCTGTGGTTCACTTGTTGTCGTTGGTTCATATCTGTTATATTTGTTTTTCGTAAATTGTTTTGTTTTAAATCAGGCCGGTAGTTTTCTCAATTGAATTGTTTCATGTTGGCCCCTTTTATAGTCGACTATACGGTATGGATTTTTCTCACTTATGAAGGCGTACGGCTGACTATCATTGCTTTCATCGACTTCATTTCTCATTGGCAATCATACCACATCTCCTTATTTTTTTATTTTCTTTTTAACTAAATACGCTTAATATTCTCAGGTATTTTAACATGTAAGAATCAGCTTTCAGTACCTGGGGGTACTTTAAGATCGGTATTCGCTGTCTTTCATCATTCAAATTTGATTAGTCGAGTTATTTCCAACTGAATTTTACAGTTTTTTTTTCTTATATTGTGCTGTTACACCAGAGTGTTGAGCACTGATAAATGTGTTTAATCAAGCCGAATTCTATATTGGCTTTCCCAAGTCAGGAGCTTTCAATTCAGTGGTTGTCGTTGGTTACTTTCTGTCATATTTGGGTTATTTAAACTTATTTTTACTCTTGTAAAAAATTTGTTTTTCGTTTGAACTGTTTACATTTTTCCAAGTCAAATGAATGCCTTATATACTAGTATCTGATAATACGGTATGAGTATTTGTTTATTGCTGACGACAGTACGAGCCAATGTAGTCGTTATTCACGCCAGTTGGACTCTGTTTGACAGTTTGACGCTCCACATCACCTTATTTGATATAATTAACTATAGTTGATGAATT